CTATCTATCTATCTATCTATCTATCTATCTATCTATCTATCTATCTATCTATCTATCTATCTATCTATCTATCTATCTATCAGCTAATTTTCATTTGCAGTTCCTGTGGCAGGTAAAAAAAATTCTGCATAGATAGAAGTAAAAAAAAAAAAAAACTGAATAAAAACAAGTACAGTACATACTGTTTAGCATAGCCATGTACTTATACTAAAACTTCAACCCATGTCACAGCAACACACACCAAAAGATGCAGAAATTCCAATTGCATACAGAATATTGGCTTTCATTAGTTCTTTACTAAGTATATAAAAAAGGCCACCTGAACTTACAGCGGTCTTTATATGATCTGCTATGTGAACAAACATTTCATAACTGTGGTAATGAGAAGCTCATATCTTCAGATTGTTAGTGTGAAGTTGGCGGAATGAGAATATTTAAACAAGTTTTAAAATTTACATCAACTGACTTTTCCAACAGATGAATGAGTACAAACCTAAAAAGGTTGTTCATATGTATTATTGACCAAAACTCAAACCTCTTGGGGTGCTCGCACCTTTGCATTGTCCTGTTTCCCTTTTGTTCCTCTAAAAATAAAATCCCATTGTTGCAGAAAACCACATTTAGAAAATTTTTAGCTTTTGTTTCTGCTTCCAAGAGATTTGTTTCTCTTTTCTTCATAGGAAACATTTTTTTTAGCCTTCATCAAATAGACGTAATTTCGATTTTAAGTATCCTGAGTCCATTTTTACAAGACAGTTATTTTCTTCTAATTTCCCCTCCTGCATATGAAAAGTCTATCATTTCCACTGGAGCGTGCTGGCAGCAGTGGCTTCTCGAGGAAGTATTATTTTCTGGCAGAGTCACAGGTTTTCATCAAGTGGCTGTGATAGGGGACATACACTTGTCGCTGAGTGGCAAGCTCTGTCAAATTTAGTCAGCTGTCCCAGAACCACATGTCTACTCTGCCCGAGGCTCAGACCTAGTTATTTCAGCTGTCAGCGAGATATGACAACAACCTGGTATCGTGAAATTGCCTCCGATCCACACGAGACCTCTGTTAAAGCCGACGTGTGATCGTTGTCGCTGTGTTCTGGGTGTGTTGACGTGTTGCATTTTCATGTAAGACATAGTTAAATAGACAATCAGATATGTTCCAGTGTCACCCAAAAGCTATGCCTTGTATGCGCAAATTGATTGGGTGACAAATAACTATAATGGGCCAACTTTCATGCAAGGAAGTGCAGACTACCTTCCAGTCAAAACTTTTGGTTTGCCAGATATAAGGCCAACACTCCAGCACTGTCTGATTTCAGTTATGGTTGTAGAAAATCACAACCAATCCTTCACAGCATCTGGGCTCACACTTGATATTAGTAAGTGTAGTGCAAACGTGTTTGTTCTTCTAAAGACAGTCCCGGTACGAGGGTACTGTGTTGTCATGTAGGTCTGTCCCTGAGGTGTTGTGACATTGGTGGGTAATTTGTCTTGCTGCTGCAGTGATCCTGAGCGTTTATGACAGGTGTCAGATCAAGTTTATACACCCGTCTGAAGGCTCCATCTCAACTAGTTAATCGTCCACTTCTTCCTGCATGCTTCGAGGTGCAGCGTGGTCCATGCTGCAGTGTCCTTTCTAATTACCCTGAGCAACAAACCCAAAGAGGTGGAATGAGGATTATATTGGTTTACTTTCACCAAATGGCAGCTTGACTGGAAAAGAGCAGTGCTGCAAAGTACTGTCACTTCTTTGCGCATCTAAGAATATCATTGTATCATAAAATTTACACACATATAAAGCAAATTTGGAATAGGTTTTGCAGAAAAGGCAATGTTGCTCTGATGTCTTCTGAATAACCAAAACAAATATTTTTATTTAAAAGTCTGTAGAGTAGGGTTGCATGATATGAATGGTATTCCTGTTTTTAAAAATCTTAAAACAACCATGTTGGGACATTTTAAACCTTTTTGACATAATTTTCTTACAATAAATTTGCAAAAGAAGTATTATTTTGGAATCATGGAACAAAGTAATGTAAACAACAAACTAAGTAGAAAACAGCCCAATCCAAAGGTTTTTAATATTACATAACAATATGAACATGTTCCATTTAAAAGCTGTTTTTCACCAATCTTACCAGCCTTTTTGCTTTATAAGGTACACATTTCAGTTTAGAGTGCATCCTTTCTCTTACCTGCCACCCACGGAGAAGTCAGAGATGGCATAATAGTACGAGCGCAAGACATTAGCGTCCTTAAAGAACTCGTCCCCAAATGTGTTCAGTCTGTCTAAAGAGATGAGCAGGTCAGTGGCGGTCACCCATTCCTGGAAAAAAGAAAGGCGGAGAAGAGAAGACCAACAATGTGAGAGTTTTAAATGATAAAATGATAAGAATTATTTTTGTTTTAGTTGGGGAGGATCGTCTATAGCTACATTATGTTTTAGCTCAATGTCTGTATGCTTGACTGAATTATAGACTTTTGTCATGTTTGTGAAAGTCCATTAGCTGTGGCAGCCATCTTGAATTGGGTTGATTTCAAATTTTGCATGTAAATCCAATGATTACTTTCTGGCAAAAACAATAATGACTGCCTTTGGCCTTTTAGCTGTGGGCAATTAAGAAAAAAAATGGCAATTTGTAATATCATTGATAAAAACACAGTGGGCTAAAAAACCACATGAACACTGTGTTAGCTGGTGCACAATAGCAAAATTTAGTTTCAAATGACAAAAAGAAAAAAAAATAACAGAAAAAAGGAGGAACTGGGCTACAATATAGTATTGGTAGATCAAAAGACAGGAGTGATGGTGTAGCTGTAGAGGCAGGTGGGTGGTCAGATTTAATGGGAAAATAATGAGCATCACAAAGAAAATTGAGCTGATGTTGAGAGAAAGAGGGGTGGAAAACACCAGAGATTATTTAAGAAAAAAAAATTAAAATATGATTTAAAAAACACAAGAAAATACAACATTGCTGCACTCCATGGAAATGAACTGCACTTGGCAAAAATTCTCTCACCCCATGGTATGAATTAAGCCTCTGTTGCCCACTGTGATGGTGAAGGCAGGGTGAAGCAACAGCAGAAGGAAGTGAAGAGAGATAATATAGAAAAAGCAAACAAGAAAAACAAAACAATAGAAGGGGTGGAAGTTAAAAGTTAGGTCAGGAAAACTGGCAAAAAACAAAGATCATCCAATATCTATGAACAGAAGCAACTTTCAAACAAAAAGCTGGAGAGACTTTTTTTGTTAGTTTGTTTTGTTTCTTGGCTGGTTTGGGACTTTGTGACGGTCCTGAAAAAAGCCTGTAAAGCTGTATGTTTTGAAGCAACTCCCCAGAGATGTCTTTGAAGTGTGGCAGTGGAAGATGAGGAGATTCGAGCGAATGGGCCTCAGACTAAAAATGTGCAATGAGTTCATTCATTCGTGTTTTTCTCTGGCATTACAGTGGCTCTTTGTGAAACTGAAGCCTATAAAAGGACTCCTTTTTGATAAGATGAGGTTTGGTTTATTTTAGGGTAATAAGCATACAATTTACAAGGTTTTACAAATCCTGTTTCACATCCTTTACTCTAGACCACATAGTGAAAAAGCAGACAATAATGTGCTTGCCCTCTTCTCTTGTAAACACCGAATAAATGGGATTAGTAATGTAGTGATCTGCTACCCCCTCGCATTTAAAAGTGTCCTGCCAAGGTCAATAATGTTGGGGAAATGCAGTGTGCAGCTCCTAAGCTGTGATTGGTACTGAAAGATAACATGTTCTTTTACTTCGGTGCAAGTTGAGAACTAAGAATTAATCACAGTTTAATCATAACACCTAAAAACAGATAATTCTGCAAGCTGATTTTCATAAAAAGACCTAGATCTCTAGGTAAAAACAAGAACTTGTAGTGCAAATCAGTGTTAAATAGAATAAATTTTCCTGTAATGAAACAGAGTTCTTCTGGATGCCGATTTGCTTGGGCAGATGTTGCCAGATCACCAACAAAATCCAACAAGTTGTTCTTTGTGACAACCCCTATCTGTCTTGGAAATTTCATTAAAATCCATTTTGAGTAGTACACAGATGGACAAACAAACAAATGAACAAATCAATTTTACTGAAACCATAACCTCCTTGTTGGAGGTAATAAAACTTGCAGAATGTACTCACTAGATCAGAGGTGCCCAAAGTGGGGCCCGCGGGCCAAAATTGGCCCGCCAAGCCATTTGATTTGGCCTACCAGTAGTTTTTTAATTGTCTGTTATACTCTGTAGAAACTCTGTATTTCCATAATGGCCCAATGACTAAATAAGGGACTGTAGCACAGATAGCTGACTTTGTCACTAAATTATATTAAGATTACAAATAAAATACAAGAAACCAAAGAAGATATTTACATTAGATTTAAGCACACATGTAGATTTGAAAACTTTGTAAGACTACAAATACTCATATTTTATCAATATATGAAATGTCCCATGAGCCTTTGCTGCCTGAGCAAGTGTACAGATTAAAAACACAAACAAACAAAACATGGGCCACTGCACTGGCTCTTGGTTTAATCATAAAAAGTAAAAGCACTTTACTTAAGAAGTATTAGCATTTCCTCTATTATATTATTGCATTTGGCCCGCAGCCTTTGGGTAGATTTTCATTTTGGCCCTCTGAGGGAATAAGTTTGGGCACCCCTGCACTAGATCTACATCTACAACTGATGACCTTTTTGAGACAATCAAAGACAAGATGGCCACCACGGCTGATCAGCATTAGAAGACACGAAGAAAGCCTGTAAGTCAGTTTTACAAATACTGAGTTACACTTTGATGTGGTAGTATCTGAAAGTCATTGACTACTTTAAGGGTGAAATCTTGGAAGATCGCTTGGGTTTTCACAGAGCATCGCTTGAAAGGTTTGACCAAAACAGCTACAACCAAACATTCAGCACGTTTCAACACAAGAGGATCTTAATCTAAATGTTTGGAGGCTTTCTTTGAATCCCGGGCCTTTCATCATTTTACAAAGGGTGTTTGTCTTCGCCAATAATACTAATAAATGTGGGATGATTTATTCTCATTTTTATGTTTGAACAACATTTACTATGACAGGGTGTTTACAATAGGTGCCAATTTTTTAAAACCCTCCTAAATTATTTCTTGCACCTTTACTTTTTCACTTTCAAAGAAAAAAAAAGTTAATGGATTGGTTAAGATTAAACCTAATCATAATGTTGATGATACACATTAAAAAGAGAATGCCAAAAATGATCTAACAACCTGCAGAATAAGCACTGAACAGATTTCCTCCTAACAGTTTTCATGTAAAACGTCAGAGTTAAGAGTTACTCTTTGTTCAGTGAGTGGAGCGAATGCCCTAATTGGTAGATAGCAAAAAAATGAAACTAATATGACACTTCGGGCCTTTCAAAATGCTCGTCTCAGGTATGTGCTGTGATCTTTCTTAGCTTAAAATAGCCTGAACAGCACAAAAGGAAAAAAAAAAAGTTTTGGAAAAAGTCGACTTTTAAAGAGTTTCTTCCTGGGGGCTTTGTTCTGCAAGTGTGACCAGACAAAATAAATGATTTTTGGATTCAGATCACATGGATGGCTGGTGTCTGCACTTCCAAAAGACATATCCTCATTTTAAAACATCTGTTAAAATGTATGTTTGTGTATTCCGTACTTCTGGGACCAGGTTTTCATCTACTCTTTATGTATTACTCAAACAAAATCAATAGCTGGAGCCTAAAAGTCTATGTGCTGACAATAAACCTAACTCAGAAACTCCACATACAAAATAATGATAGCATTGTTTCAACATTAAACTGTTTTATGTGTTGTGCTGTCCTTGATTTAAATGTGCTTTCCTGAATGGTTTACTTTTGAACACAAAATAATACTTATTGTCTGTTTATTAATGTTTTATAATTTTTGTTATTCCTTCAGAAAGACTATTCCAACTGGTAATAGCTGTTCATAAAAACACAAATTAAAATATATATTTTTGAATGGACATTTTGTAAAAAATAAAATAAAATTGTACTCCCACCAAGTCATACCACACATTAACCATGTATCCACACATTTGTGGGTAAAAAAACCCCAGATCTGGTTATTCTCACTTCTGTCCACTTCATACTCATCTTGTACCAATTTTGCACCCACCATGGCTGCTTCCTTAAAAGCAAATGCATTATTCTATTGACCAGTTTTGTCCAATAATAGCATGGTTAGATGTGTACATTCCCCACATATCTCAAGACCAACAATTTCTAAATGCAGTTCTATGCAAATCAAGCATTAGGTTCCCGAAAAACACATGGAAATGTAATGTATCTGCTGAAAATTCAAGAAGATCAAATTGTTCTTTCTTCCAGATATCAGTATAGCTGTACTGTCAAAAGTGTGTGCTTGACTTGTAAAACTATTCATCTCAACAGAACAATCGGGTGCATGGGTACAAATGAGAACTGTTTTGTACTCTATTGGTACAAAATAGTGATAGCTGCACACAAGTAGAATAAGTACCATCTGAACAACACTGTTTATATTGTCTCACATTCATCCTTCTTTTAATTTTTTTAAATGCCCTTGGAAACTAAGAAACTCTGAATCTTGCTTTTCTTTCCACCAGTCCTAATTAGAGATGGGATTATGGCTCTTTGAAGAGAACAGGATCTTGATTCGTTTGCTTCAAAGAACCATTCAATTGAGCCGTTCAGTGTTGAACGTCAGTGACGTCATCGTATACAGCTGTAGTGACATACGTCTTTCACGATGACGTACAGCGTCATGGCCGAACCACCCCTCCCCTCTTGAGCCTCTGCACTTTGCCCATATCCTTTCACCATGCAGTGAAAAAAGTAAAGGAGCAATTGTCCCTTCATTAAAAGAGGAGCACGTGAAAAAAAAATAGCAGGAGAAAAAAATGGTGACAGCGCCTTTTTGTTTGCAACGCTATTCTTATTGTTGTAAAAAAGCCGTTCAAATTATTTGAATTGTTCACGAACATCACATCTCTTAGTCCTAATTCTACCAAACGCAATCTAAATCTAGCTGGAGTGCACATCGCTTCTCCAAACTGCTCTGTTTGGGAAACTTATACACAGTTTGATGGTACCTGCACCAACAGCATTACAGATAAGGGTCAGCTGGCAGTCTGTCATTGCAGCTTTAGCTTTCTAGATTTGCTTCTGACTGACTTGGTTTGTGAGAAGTGTGATTCAAGCAACAACTGATGTCCAAACACCTCTTGATGTGCTGAAAAAAAAAACACACACCTTCTCTAAAACCTATAAATTACAGCACATTTAGATGAATTGTAAAATAAAAGATGCACATCT